AAAGAAACGGAAATGATACCCTAAAGAATGCTTTGTTTCCCTCTACTTCACGTTCCCATGGAGGGTCAGAGTTTATATCCACTGGAGTTGCGCATATCTCTGGAAAACCTATCAACCAAAATATTCGCTATGATACCGTCGAGAATGTAAGTCCATCAAATTCAGCCCTGTTTAAATAACGAATACAACCTGTCCTTGCACATTTTGTCATTATTTCTAAAAATGGTACCCTTATTAAAGTAGTATAGTTAGTTCCTACACTATTACTTTTGCCCTGCATTTTTTGTAACTTAGTTCAAGGCAAGATACTGGTGGTATGGGTTGCTTAAGTCGGTGAAGAAATTCTGTCCTATACATCTGCAAAATGTAGATCTCGACAACATTTCTGTCCATGCTTGACTGTGTAAACCTAGTATTAGACTTCAGAATTTTTCATCCATAACGCACATATCCGCGTACGTATATTTATTCATTTAACTTCAGATAGGTCTGCTCTTTGCCACGGGTGCACATGGTGCGATGAGTAATTCTTCACTACCTCGAATCGAGTCCTGCGCTCGGTTATTTTTCTTCTTACCTTATGGTGTTATAGCGTAGGTGATGTTTAATTCACCCCACTGTTTCCAGATAAATTGGTCATCGCAGGCTAATTCGAGTAGTCGCACTTTGACTTCAAAATTCTGAAATCCGCCTTTTCGGTACATAATCGCGTTCGTCGGTTTATATATATAGGAACCTCTATATATGTGCTGACTAGCCTACCCTAATACTACGTCAGTTTGTCGTCAGAGACAAGTCGAATCGGTTAACGATAGTATCAGCAATCGTATTGTAATTTCTGTTCTGTCGCACAATTTACAAGGAAGTCGTAGCTAGCTGCTCATGGACGGCTGCGGCGAGAAGACTTCATGACTCACGCTTTCGCCACAATGCGTCTTTTAAGCAGTTACTTTTTCAGTCTAATTAAATAGTCGTTAGCCCCTGCTGTTATTTTAGTTTTTTAAAGTCTATTACGTAGCGCTGTGTTCTTCAAAACCGGGGCATGAGAGAATCCAAGCCCTCTGACAACGACTGCGATAAGTAGCTCTTGTCAGGGCTGGTCGAACTTGACTGTCTGCTTGAAGGATGCATAAAACTAAAACCTTAATCAGACAGGAACGTTTTGCGTAACTGCTGAATCCCTGCACTGTGTCTCTATATTTGTCTCTCTTCACCGCTCCCTTGTTCGAAAGTCCGTTTGAACTCAAGTTATTTTGGTAATTGGCAGTTTGAACCTTCGTAGGCCTACCTTTGCCGGCCAGCTGAATATTATAAGAGTGACGCTCATGGTAGCACGTTCCGTGTTTGCCGTTGTTCCAACTTGTTTGTTGAACTGTTTCATTCTTTAAAGTTTTCCATAAAGTTAATTGGCTATCATAACTTTTGCCGAGGCATCTTATTCAACCTCTTTTGTCGA